AACTTCTTCGTAGGACATCTGTTGAGTACATACGTTGCAGTGGCAACAGCTTCTCCCCAGAGCTTCTGAGGAAGCTTCTTCTCCTTTAGCATGCTTCTCACCATATCAAGCAAAGTGCGGTTTCTTCTTTCAGCAAGACCATTGTTTTGAGGGGTATAAGGAGCAGTAACCTCATGCTCAATTCCATTCTCCTCACAGAACTTCTAGAACTCTTTGGAGTTATACTCACCTCCACCGTCAGTTCTAAGAATCTTCAACTTCTGACCACTCTGATTCTCAGCCTTCATTCTGAACTTCTTGAATTCATCAAACACCTCATGTTTAAATTTAATAAGGGATACCCATGTCATTCTTGTGAATTCATCAACAAACAACACAAAGTACTTATTCCCTCCAATTGATGCTACTGGAAATGGACCACACACATCAGAATGTACAACTCCCAAGGCATGTTTTGCTCTTGGAGCAGCTTCTGACGCAAATGGCAATCGTGGTTGTTTTCCTTCCATGCAAACTTTGCATGATTTTTCAGGCTTCTTGATTGCAGGAATTCCATGTACCAACTTCTTTGAATTCAGATGTTTTAAGCTTTTGAAATTCAAATGACCAAATCTTCTGTGCCACAGCTCACTCTCCTTCTCAGCACATGTTGCACTAAGACATTCTGAGTCTGCAGTTCTGACATTCACCTTGAATGTTCTATTCCTTCCTTGTTCTGACTCCATAATCAACTTCTGATTGCATTCATACAGCTTCAGAAGATTTTCCTTCATGGTAACTGAAAAACCTTTCTCAAATAATTGTCCCACACTCATCAGATTGCTTCTGATGCCAGGTACATACCACACGTTCTGAATCAATGTTGTTTTCCCATTGTTCAGAGTCACTCTGACATTTCCCATACCTTCTGCATTCAGATATTTGTCATCAGCACATCTGATCTTTGTCCTCTTTTCAGAGTCAAAGTCAACCAGCCATTTCTTGTTTCCAGTAAGATGATTTGAACAACCAGTGTCCATATACCACCAGTCTGTCAGATCCATATCATCAGATTCAGAGGCCATCAATAGCACAGATTCGTCATCAGAACTTCTGGCTATATTTGCTTCTTCTGATTTCTTCTCCTTGTTTGACCAACAATCTCTAGCAAAGTGACCAAACTTCTTACAACAGTAACATTGGATCTTCTTCTTGTCATACTTCTCTTTTCCCTTCTGAGCATTCTTTTGTCTATCAGAGGTTGAGCTTTCTGACTTCTGACCACCATCAGATCTTCTCCTGGCTTCTGACTGCTTCTGATACCTCCTATCAGAAGTTGCTTTCAAAGTCTGCTGCTCTACTTCCTTTTCAGAAGTTCTCTCAATCAAACGCAACTCTTGCGCTTCTAGACTGCTCTGCAGCTCTTCAATTCTCATGGTGCTCAGATCTTTGGAATGTTCTATTGCTACCACAATGTAATCAAATTGAGGAGTAAGGGATCTCAATACTTTCTCCATTATTGTTTCTTCTGAAAGAGTTTCTCCACACGTCTTCATCTCATTAGTGATCAGAATCACTCTGGAGATGTATTCAGAAACTTTCTCATTATTCTTCATGTTGAGATTCTCATATTGCTTTCTCAAGGACTGAAGCTTCACCTTCTTCACTGATGCGTCACCACCATAACATCTAACTAGTGTGTCCCACGCAGCCTTTGCTGTCGTTGAATCTGCAATCTTCTCAAACACATTTACATCAACACATTGATGAATAAAGAATAATGCTTTCTGATCCTTCTTCCTTACTTCCTTCTGCGCGTTTTTCTGTTCATCCGTTGCATCTGCTGCTACCGAAACATAACCATCAGTGACAAGATCTAAAACATCTTGAGCACCAAACAGTACACGCATTTGGATCATCCAACGATTCCAGTTTTTACCATCAAATACTGAAAGTTTGGTCTTCATGTTGCCGTTTCCGTTCATCTTCTACCTTGCACAATACACTCAGATTTCTCACACAGTGTTTACCAATCCACAGAATTAAAATTCTGATCAGATTTTGTTCAAGATTCAACACGAATCTAATAATCAAAATCAAACACACAAGACCTCACGTTCACTCGTGTTTCCCGTGTTTCCCAATGAATCTGAACCGGAGCTCTGATACCAATTGTTGGTGCAAAGGTGAATAAATGATGAACAGAGGAAATATTCTATTAAGAATGACGGCTACAAAAACATGATAATGTTACAATGATTGTCACCCTATTTATAAGCTAAAACTAGGGTTACTAGAATAAGATAAAAATACTAAAATACCCTCTAACAAACTTAGGGGCTAAGAAAATAGTACAACTAAATAAATATGAATTACTATTAATATTCTAATAAGCACAATCCCCCCTATCACTCGTAGTTTCCCGAACTACATCGACTCTGATTTTCTCATATCTGTTGAGAATACGTAGGCCTAGGACCGCGAAGTCCTACCGAGTCCTTTCTTCCCCCTTTTACCTCTCATTTCCCGTTTCTGACATTTCTCTTTGTCCCCTAGAACACACTCATTTAGCATAATCTTTAAGCAAATATTATCACATCGACAAATAAATGGTTCCCATCGAGTACGATGGATGTGAAGGGTGCTAATACCTTCCCTTCGCATAACCGGCTTCTGAACCCGTTTTTGGTTGCGAGACCATCTTATCCATTTCTTTCTTAGGATTTTCTCGATGTTTTCCCTTCCCCTCATGGGATAAATAAAGTTCGATAACGACTCTTCTGTCCTTTCTTTTCGCCTCCTCGTCGTTGCACGATGCATTTTTCGAGTAGCGACACTATGATTATCAATTCTTTCATTTGTCTTCAGCAGTAAAGTTTTAAAACTTGTGATAACAAGAATGACAAATATAATATTTATAATTGTTAAAATCCAACAGATCCAAAAGACGCTCAAAACACAATCCATTAATAAATGGATCAACAGACTAAAACGGAGATGCTCAAAACACACGAATTGAGAAAACTCATACAAAGTGACTAAAAATCCATTCTGCATCCTCACACAAAACCTCCGCCTCGCAGTTGTCTTTCGCCACCTACTAGAATACGTCTATCTTCTTCTTCAAGCTACCGACCTTCAACAATCTTAAAATATATTTCTTTCTCTTCACCATTTAACATTTTAAGATATTATTCGAGCTTCAACTCAAATACTAAAATGATCATGTGAAAAGGAAGAAACAATGCACCCATTTCAATAACTAGAAGTAGTTTTGAGATGACATAAATTTAAAATAGGTGGTGGAAATCCCATGATGAAGTAAGTTACTATGGTGTAAGTCGATGTTGGTGGAGCATATGAGTTGAAAAATAGGTGGGACCAAAATAAAGGTTAAGAAAAGGAGTAAGGTTCGTGTGAGGCCACGCAGAAGAGGGCCGCACGAGGGTCAAGTCAGCTGAACAGAAGGGCTGTCCATATGACCCACATCTCACCTTTTCTTTTCATTACGATTCCTGCTGTCTCCTCTTGTTTCACCCCACCACCACCACTCTATCATTCATGTCATTTCTCTCTTTTACTTACCGAATCATCACATTTAATGTTAATAACCAAACTTCTCTCAACTTTCTCACTTAATCAACTAACACTTTCGCTTTCAATACGTGCACATGAATAGTGCTCCTCTTGTCCAATAATGAAATGCTCTAATGATTTTCAGAAAGCAACCTCACAAATTCACTTCTTTTTTACCCAACCATATCCTTCTCTATCTTATGCACCCTACAGACTAATCTCTCAACTCTCAATTCAGAAACATTATAAAATTCTCTAAAAAAGATGTGTATATAGTTTATGTTGTAGATACTAGATAACAATTATTTACATTAATTTGAACTTTATATGATATAAATTTTATTTGTTGGTTGAATAGAAACATTTAACCAAGAATATGTGTGGTATTTAAAGACACAAAATATTATAAGAAAATAATTGGAAAGTAAATTCAAAATTGAAGCTTACTCTTGTCTCATGTTTCCTTAGCACAACAAACGTTGTCATGAAAATTGACTAAACATATTCATGGTTTATTTATTAATAAATAACTATTCTCTTATGTCTACTAATATTATTTTAAACATTTTATATTATATAGTTTTTTATTCAACATCTCTGCTTTTTGCCTCCTTCGCCTAGGAAAAATATATAATTTTTTAATTATTCTTTATATCATTAAAAAGTTTGGCAGGACCAAGGACAATTTCAGTACCCACATGGTTTCTTCCCAAAAAAAATCTTAAATTAAAGTAAATTTAATTATACATACTTGCAATAATGTCCAAAAAAATTAAAATCTGAGAAAATTAATTTTATTTTAAGTTCTCAATTTTGAATTATGTATAAATAATTTCGAATCAACAATTTCTATAATAGAACAGTTTAATCGTTATTAATTTGGTCTCCTGTTTAATCGATAATTAAATTAAAAAAATTCCAGATTATTAATTTAAAAAAATAGTATTCCAAATTACTGACTTATTATCCATGAGAACTAAGAGAAGGAAGGAAAAAAAACAAATCAGAAAAATCTTAGAACACAAATTAATTGCAAAGAAGTTATTTAGAATAAGGGATCTTTATGAGAATAAAAAGAAAATATAATTTATGCACATATATAGTATAAAGATAAGGTTTAAATTTTATTTTTATTTTCTTTCTGCAGACAAAGAAATGACATTATCAGAAAAGCAAAAGATATTGTAATAGATGAAATGACATTAATGTAAGCATCTGAAAAAGAAGATCTACTCAATAGTTTTGAAAATTGAAATAGATCTAATCTCATTCACATTTTAGCATCTGCATGTAGTAATTTAATTTACAACATGCAAACCCTATAACAAAAACTATAGTAACATAAAAAAACATAGTACCTTAATTTATGTTACAACCTTAAAAAAAACAATAATACAATTACATGAATCTCCTAACTTGCTGAAGCTAGCTGCTACCTTGAATTTTCAGTGCTCAGAACGTTCATGATAACATAACAGCATCGCGATACACCGGCGAAGAATGTAGAATTTTGCACGCTGTTTCTTGACCAAGTGACTGCACTTTTGGCCAAAAGATTTGCAAGGATCACACCCTTCTTCTTGTTGATGTTGAGAACTATTTTGGATCCTTGTTTTGTTAATTTCCTTCACTGCCATGAATGATGCTTTTGTTGTGGAACTGGAAATTCCTGATATGGAACCATATAGCAGTGAATCTATGGTAGCTTCAGGTTCCACTATATAGGTGTTTATATATATAGGAATGAAGAGATTTTTTATCTATGGTAGTACTCTTCTAAATCAAGTATGGACTGTTACTATTGAAAAATCACTAGTTGTCAGAATCATATCAAAGTAGAATGGGCCTAGGTTGCCATATTTTTTTATTTTACCACTTCTAAATAGTACTACTTTATTTTCTCTGTTATTTTTTTGGGGTAAGGTAATAACACAAATTCTCACTGTACTACTATTCTATCAAATTGTGTTGAATTTATAATAGATTTTTCCCCGGTTAAACTATGGTTAAAGAGTGCTTAGTTATTTTAAAGTGTGACTAATTTACATAGAATTTAAATAAATAAGATACAGGGATACTGGAAACTACATATTTATGGTACGTACTTGACCTTTTAAGAATTGTTTTTTGTTATTAAAATCTAGTAGATATAAGCATAATTGAGTTTAACTTTTTCTTCTTGCTAGTTGTATTATTGTTTTTGTGTGGAAACAATGACATGAAATTTCCTTGATCATGTATTGTCCGGGTCATTAGTCACACTTTAAAGTGTTGTCTAACGCTTGCTCAACTTTTTTTTTCATCTTTTCGACAATATAATATTAGTCAAAGTGTATTTAATTTTAATTTAAATAAATATATTTTAAACTTAGTTTAAATCTAAAATCGGGAGAGAATAAAAAATGATAAAGTTTGAAGAGTTTGGTGAATGTGGACACAAGTTGAAAACTATACCCCAATGAAAGAATCTAATGTTTTTTTCTAAAGAGATGGTGGAGGGATGAACATGACAAGAAAGTGAGATACAAAAGTGGAGGATTTGTTTTTGTTTGATGATGCTAATTAGTACCACTAGTACTTAATTAGTTAGATGTCTTCTTCATAGGACCTTTCATGTGTTTATTGTTTAGCTTGTTTTGAAGTTGAATAGCCTTTATTAGGTTTGAGGATACATCTTTAATGAGGGCCCTTCAATCTAACTAATATGAGCTTTCTAATCTCTTGGTTTGAAAAGATGGATACATTTCCTCTTTAAGATGATAATTTAAGTCCTAAATATGGTTAAAGATAAAGTACAAGGGAGTAATAAACAAAACATTAATACTATTTGCACCCACGTGTACCATTCTTGTGACATCATTGTGTCGTTTTAAGTTCTACTAGTACTCAATTGTGTAGCTTTTATCAAATTAAGTATCAAAAGGACATAACTCATGTTTTCTTGCTTGTGCATGTGTCGTTTCATTACCTTATAAAAATTTAGACAAGTCTTGTATACTTTTTTTATTGAAAGATAACTCAAACTCTACCACATATATTTATATGTACAAGTATAGCAAATGAATGAGGGTTCGGAGATATAGGCAAATAAATAACAACATATATCCTCCTTATAAGTTTACAATTTTTAAGGGTCTAAATGTCAATATAAACTCCATTAAAAAGTGCAAGAGTTTACTTAAGTTGTTTGTATAAATACTTTTTTTTTATAAAACAATATTCTTCGTATAAATTACAAAAACTAATCTCACGAAACAGAGGAGAAAACGATAAATAACAAGTTCTTCCAAAATAAATTTAACATTGATGTGTATTTAATGTTATCATATAAATATTTATGTATAAATTATTTCTATAACACTAAAAATATCATAAAAGATAAAAGAAAATCAAGTTATTTGTAATTAAATTATAAATTGTTTTCAATAAAAAAAAATCAAATTATTTATTGAAATACCAACTTATAAACATGTCAAAAATTATTGTCATGATTTTTTTAAAACAATTTCACAAAAATTATGCAACTAAATAAGTTCTCCAAACAGACTAATTTAACCAACAATTAAATTGATATTACATTATATCACTTTTTTTTTAAAAGTTATTAAATTTTCTACTAAATGTATAGTTATGAATATCTAAATGATCAAATATTCATAATCTAAAACTTTATATATACGATAATCAATATGATTACACAGCCTTTTGTGTATATGCTATTGATGATTTATACAATCAAGTCTGCATATGCATCAAACTGTTGATCAACAAGGCACTCTTTGAGCTTGTTCAATCCTTTGCGCTCTATATGTCTGACATTGTCCCTACACACACCCAACAAGTGGCCAGTTTCTGACAGAGATTTCGGATAGCCATCTTCAATACCAAATCTCAATCTGATTACCTTTCTTTCTCTTGGACTCAATGTGCTTAAGAGGTTGCGTACATGGCTCCTCATTAGTTGTTTTGCAACACATTCATTTGGGATCTCAATTGCAGAGTCTGCAGTAGTCTCCTGCAAGTATGATAAACTTTGGTCAATTTGGAACAATTCTAATATCAGGTAACCGGGAAAAAAACCGAGGGTTTATGTTGATCATACAACAATTGCAGACCTGTTTAACGGAAATTTGCATCAAGACAATATGACAAAAAATTAAATCCAATGCTGCAGTGCAGTGCACGAAAACAAGCACAAAAAGCTCAAACAAATATAGGAAAACATTAATTCGGGATCATCACCTCCACCTTTGAGTCTGAAAAATTGATAATCCCAAACATAAAGAGATATAAGATGAAAGAGGGAAAGGAAAAGCAGTAAAACACCAACTATCCAAATAGCAGGGGCAGGGGTTCTTGACGAAATCGCACCAACTATCGAGTGGTGGATGACTGCAGCCTTTTCCTCATTTCTCTACTTCCTCCTACCTATTGTTCTCTATCTTACTTCTCTTAGTTTCTATTTTCTCCATCTTTTGATTCTGTTCATTTTTTTCTATTTCTACATGGCTTTAAATCCATTCTTCTAAAAAATATTTATTTCTCTTTTGATTCTATTTTTCCCCTGATTTGCTTCCTTTTCTATCACAACTCTCACTCAAATGATGTCATTCCTAATTCTATCTCTTCCATCTCTGAATCCCAACTCTAATTTTCACTGTTGCAGAATTTCTTAAATGTGATGGCACCGGTGACGTCAGCAGATCTCTGAACATGCATGGACCAGCATCTGCACAACATGTATATCATGCTCACTCACCCCTTTCATGAGGTCTTTTTTCTCTACTTATGTCGTCATCGCTGTCTTTTCTTGAGTTAATTGTCGAGCTAGCCTCCGAAGGTTTTGTTGGCGGTTTGTGATGGAATGGTCAACTCTATCAATGAATTTGTATTCTTCACTTTGTCATCCTCACGATGAAATTTGATTTCCAGTACGGTGTTTTTCATTGTTTTTTTGAATGTGTGCCTTCAACTTCATCGCAAGTATTTCTATAGTTTGACTTGAGGTTTAAAATACACCATGGTTTTCTAGTTCTTCATTCTCTGGGTCCAGAAGACAATCCCAAATTTCTTGTTGGAATTTTTTAAAATACACCATGGCAGTGTAAAACTATTTTACATCGTCAATGCACTACCTTTAATCTCTTAAACATATGATTCAGTTCAGTTTACTCTCAAAACACTAAACCAAAAGAATAAGCAATGAAATCAAACCACCTCGTTTTGTTGAACTAATTTATTCAGTTTGTTTGATAATCCTATGTATTAGGTATTATGTTATGTTACCCAGGCTTATCTCATACTAAATTTTAGTATTATGGTCTAGCATCTCCTTCACACTATTGAAATGAAATCTTTTGGATGTTGATGATGGCTCCTTTCCATCAGGCACAACAGAATGTAATAAACTGCAAACTTGAGGTGATTCTTGCAGGCAATTACATTTTGGCTTTATTTGCAATTACATTTCCTCCAATTTGTTCTAACAGTTATCAGCACAAGTAAAAGACTCTGTATATCAATACAGATGGTCTTTTTCACTGTTTTCAATTGTTAGATCTGTAAATGATATATTTGCAGGAAAAATTTATGTTTACTTTAAGGTCGTACCTGGACACTTGTGTTCTGGTCTGACCAAACAGCTCGCTCCATCGAAAGCGGAGTTCTTGTAGCAAGTAGCAACATTTCCAACTTATCTACTGTAATTTCTACTCGTCTTGCTATTTCTTCTTTGGTAGGGTTAAGGTTTCCTTCTTTAATGTACGATTTCTTTGCTTCCGAAACTTTACCCAAAAGAACGTAGAAAGTCTCCTGAAATAGTATGTCGGTACCATATAAAAAAATAGAAAAGATCTTTGCTTTAATGCCAACATATTAGGAATAAATTGTGATGCAATAGTACATTTTATTCTTTGTTCATATACAATAATCTCATGAATACTGACAATTTACATTTCAAAAAGAAGAAAAAAGCATAAGCTTAGCTAACTAGATTATAAAGAAATGAACTAATTGTTTTTACCGGGAGACGAATTGTTTTGGAATGCAAATACATAGCCCTCTTTATTGTATTACTTATCCACCAGTAAGCGTAAGTACTGAAACGGCAACCAGCTTGAGGTTTGAACTTTTCGATACTCCTCATAAGACCAATACTTCCCTCCTATAACAAATATCACCAGAAAAGCAATGTAACAAATATAGCTTCTAATCGTGCCATTAAGATGATTACTGTAACAGTTCTAAATAAATAATAGACATCCTTTAACTGAAGCTTTTCCCCTACAATTGCAGCGCCTACTTTAGCCATACATTTATTTTGCGAGTTTTCGTTGTTCAGGTATAATTTAGACCACATATATGGCAAACTAAGTATTAACTACAGATATATGAATTAGAAATGAAATACAAACTGATTTTGGTAGTGAGGGATACCTGCAATAAGTCCTGAAAGCTGAGACCACGCCCCTGAAAATATTTAGCAATGTGAACTACCAGGCGTAAATTGGCAAGAATCAGCTTTTCTTTGCTTTTGTAACCAGAATGAAGCCGTGCCTGAAGGACACGGCAGCTTAGGCCTACACAATCTGCCCATTCGTGCAAAGTTGGTTCTCTCCCAAACTGAGACTGAAGCTTGATCTTTGTTTCTTTCAATTTAAATAAATCCTGTTGCATGTTCCACATTATGGCAAAAGAAGTTCCTTAATTGAGCATACAAAACATTTTAATGAATTCTTAGTAACACCTGTATCTGAGCAATCAATTGAGACTCTTCTTCAAGGTTCAAAAGTTGCTTTGTTTCGGGACTCCATAAGAAAAAGCGCAGGACATTATTTCCATCAAGTCCTTCTTTTAACTTTTTCGCTGCACGTAACCTTCTCTGTACATCTAACTTTTTTGTAAGGTACATTTCTTCATCAAAAACTTTTGAGTTCGACACTTTTCTCTGTTTAGATCGCCTTTCTTTAAGCCGTGTTGACCTCACGATTTTATTCTTTCCAATTGAATAGTCAGCCAAACTTGCGGAAGCCAGAATAAATTGCAAATTTTAGGTATTAATCACAATGAAGTATCCTCTGAATAGATAAATACCAAATCAAGGATGCAAAATTAACACGGCAAAGCTAGAACTAACCTGAGAAGGGATGAATCATTATCATAGTCAAGTTTAATCAATTCCAACTCATCAGCCACTGCAGCAGCTTGTTTTGAGGCTGATAGGGCTTGCTTCGCAAGAGAAAGTGCCCTCCATTGGAAATCATCAGCAGACTGCATAGTCGAAGAAGAAGAAACAAAATCCTCTTCTGGCGAAGAAGCCAATCTGAATTAGACAATACAAAATCCCTAATAAGGAACCAACTTTGAATGTGCAAAAAATTCCAATTAACTATTACAATCGGTAAAATTAGCACAAGTGCAAGCAAATCAATTTATCTTACAAGTTCTGTAAATGACACCGAAGATGCAACTGCTGCATAGAGTCACGCGCTGACTCATCAACATCGCCATTTATGTTTTTCTCAGGAACTGACTTCACATCCATTACCCTTGTATTTAAGGCTGCCTTCAGTAAAATAAAAGGAATATAAATTGATAACATGTACAATGTGCCTTCGTTATATGCTTTTTAAGAGAAACGAACGAGTTTGACGAAATTCGTATGCGAACATAAACCGAACCTGGGGTGACTTGTCTTCTCTATGCATATGAAGTAGAGGCTTATATTCATCCCGATGCTCTTGCAGAAGAACTGAGGTAGGAAAAGACTGAGCAGCAGAACTAGAAGGTAAAGAAGAAACTGCAGGAGCAGCATGCTCATTAAGCATCATAACTGCACAAAATGTAACACATTCTCAATAATGGTTAATGCATGGCTCTTTATGGCTATGTGGCCACCGGAATCAGTGTCGCAACACCTGTACTAATCGCGTAAAAGGAAGGCGATTGCATCCACCATTAGTGTTGGAAGGATAAATTTCTTGAATGTGTGTGAATAGATACACAAAATGGACACAAATTACAAAATCTAATAATTATAACTGAAATTACAAATTTGTTGGAAGAAAGAAAGGAAAATAAATAGCAACAAGTTTACCTGAAGGAGAAGGAACAATTCTAGAAGGAAATGGTGTGGATGGAGAAAACATGGTGTTGGATTTTGCTCCTTTAATTACAACGATTCCAAGGAACATGAAAAGGAAGAGTTCTAGATGAGGCTTTGTTTCTCACACTAACGCTCAACCTCAACTTCAAAAGAAAATAGATATTATTTCCGTTGCAATCAATTACAAAGGAAGTGTGTTTAATGGGCCACTGAGTTCATACTCTCGGTTTCTAAAGCCCAAATTTAGTGACTGGGCCCAGACACTTTTCTGTCGATGGCCCAATTTCCAAATGTTTTTGTGAGTTTCTTTAAATTTAGACAACTGTGAATGGTTCATTGCACTTCATGCATTACTCAATCATATTGGTGAAAATTCAAAAATACCTCTTTCACACTGTTTGAAGAATGAAATTTAAACGCACCACAACACTACAAACTCATCTCAGAATCAAGCATAATGCGAGTAAAAAATATGATTCACCTTATGGATATTTGAAATTTGGATGATATCATTTAAGTGGTGCAAACACTCTTTCTTAGGGGTGTTCATGGAAACGAGTGGTCCCGCGAATTCATTAACTAAAAGTGAACCAACCAATAAATCATATGAATTCATTCATTTACGGGGTATCCAATCCAACCCGCAACAATCCGTACAGTTTTGATACAAATATCGAATTTGTGTTTTGCAACCTGCTTACCCATTGACCGAACTCATTGATCTGACAATAGTAATTTCTTATTTTTTTATTATTATTTTAAATAAAAATATAGAATTAATATCTCACTACTAAACATAATTTTGTCCAAAAAAAAATTATAATAATACTATTTGACCAATTAATTTACGTAATTCTAAGACTAAATATTATTTCTTATTTTCTTTTGTGTCATTTCTAATTTACATATTTTATGAAAATAACGTGTCTAGTGGAATTTTATACCATTATCAAGTGTTATGTCGTGTTGATGAATTGTATTAGACATTATATGATGTGTTTTAAAAAATTTGAAAAAAAATAATATTTTTATTTAAAACGCAACCTGCGAACCCAACCCATAAATGAACAATTTGAGTTTGTTTTGGCAATGAAATTACGGGTTGGACGACAAATCCAATCCATTAAAATTTATACGTGTTAGATAAAGAGTTAGGCCGAACTCGATCCAACCCAATCCGTATACACCCTTACTTTCCTTATGTCTTTCCTTATATTTCAAATAAAAAACTCTCTCAAGAACATTGTAATTCTGACAAATTTGATTCCAACATTTTCTCTTAATATATACTTGTTTTGAACTGAACTGGCACATGCCCCAAAGTTGGGCAAGGCCTAATCCAATTTAGCTTAAGGTCAGGCGCAATAAGGATATTAGGACAATCTAGCTGTTGGGCACAATCTAATCGTTGGCACAATATAGTTGTTGCAGCATATAGTCGTTGGGGACATCCCCCTCACGCAATTGACAGTTCATGCGACCAATTGCCCCTCCGAAATTCACGGGGACAGTTGAACCAGATCAAAGATCACGCGCTAGATCTTTCACCTGGAAGTCTCCCATTGGTCGGCCAGATATTTCGGCCACATGGGAGACCTTGGCCCTGCACTGGGGGGAATCTCATAAATATCCTCTCTCTTGAGAGGGTCATGTATTCTAATCATTCTCACTCATACCTAAACACTTGTACTTGCTTTCTCTCTAGTCAAAAAACTTACTTTGGCATCGGAGTACCTTGCAGGTACACCCCCTTCTCTCCTACAACCACTGTTGCTGCCCTACACTAAAGGCCAAGACCGATCCATTTTGATCACTCCATATTAGTGGCGCCGTCTGTGGGAACCTGCTCCCTTGTCTTTTTGAACCAAGATCTCCAAATCTTCCCGAACAAAAGACCAAAGTTATCTCTTTGAACCTTCATCGTCATGGCTTCTCACCATAATGACATTCATCAAGATTCCATCGTCGTCGTTCTGGGTTGCAGCGAAACCCTCATTCACTGAGCTGCAACAAGAGAAACTGATCATAGGGACGGAAAACTAGAATCTCCTGACAACGTGAAGCCTCGTGTCCAAAGTTCCAACCATGTATACGAGCTTATCATCGTCCCACAAGATGCTGACCCCTGCACTGTGGCCCTCATCGCCACTCTGAACAAATCTAATTATCTGTTTTTCCAACAAGGGGAAAAATCTGCATGCTGGAGAACACCATCGGAGAGGGACCTCCCCCGCGGGGATCCCTCAGTCCATCTCGCCTCTCGCTCCTCTCTTCAGAAGCGTCGCCAAGACGAATCTAGAAGCATCTCCCCCTGTCAAAGAACGATTCAAACCGGAGAAGCATGGACACGAGATCACCAGAAGACGCAATCGTACCCCTCCCCAGAGGTCCAGACACTCCCTAGCACCCAAAAGGACCAGGCCTTCGGGAAATCCTCATGAAGAGCACCGAAGCCGACACGAACGTTCTCCTCGATGCAGCAGGAGCCATGGACGCAGTTATTCTTTCAGCAGGTCGCTAAGTACGAGCGACAAAGACGACGCTCGCGGTCCTCTATCTCAGGAAATCATAGACACCGCATTCCTCGCGAGCTAGAGAAACCTCCCCTCTGACTCTCTAAGATAGTACCACTGATCTCGGCGACCACATAGAAAACGTTGAGGTCATATTGCACTACCAGAATGTCACTAGGGCGATCAAATGCAGGTTATTCTCCATCAACTTTAGAAAAGGGGCTATGGCTTGGTATAAGAGTCTTCCTCGGGGCTCAATCACGTCTTTGAGGAGCCTGAAGGAGCAGTTTTCCCTGCATTTTACTGCCTCTAGGCATCATCCGAAATCTGAAGCCACGCTTGAGGGTATCATAAAAGGTAGGGACGAGCCTCTTCGCGATTACGTTGATAAATTCATTAAGGATGCGGTCAAAATTCTCACAAATGACCACATGAAGAAGTACCTGCTAGAAAAAGGACTGAGGCCGAAGAGTGACTTTCGCAAGGCGGTAGGAAAAGGAAGCCGCGTATAAAGCTAGATACTCAAGGGACCAAGAGAATTCTATAGCGTCAAAGAAAGACGAAGCAGAAACTTCCAGGCATGACTAAGATAGGCGACGAGTCAACTGTCCCCGTGATCACAAAGGGTCTGCGGGTCGATTCACCGAATATACCCTACTGACCGCTCCCCGCAAGCGTATCATGTCTGAATGTATCAACGTTAAATTCAAGTTAGGGGGCGTGCGATTCCCCAAGCCAACAACTTCGAAGAGCAACACCGGCCGAAGCAAATATTGTCGCTTCCACCATAACCACGACCACATGACAGAAGACTGCGTCCACCTGAAAGACGCCATCAAAATCCTCATCAAAGAAGGCCATCTAAAACAATATACGAAGAGAGGAGAAGTCCCCCGAGGAGAAACGTTGGAGTCTAAGAAAGCATATACAAGAGCTTTAACTTCTAGCCCTTCCCCATTGGTCGCCATGTCTATCTCCCGCCCTGAGGACTTTTTCATCCATAGAGGTATCGAGGAGCTTGCGTATTTTTCAATGCACAGGCCCTGGGAGGCCTTCCCTGGTACAATGCTTATCTCCTATGGCAGATACAACGAACTCACAGTAGGATCAATAAAGAGAAAAATCGACCAACTTATCGACTGTAGCCCAGCTCGTCTATCAACACTCGAAACGTTTCGAGGAAGATCTCAGCCAATTACTTTCTACTGTGAAGAGCTCCCTGGAGGCTCCCCCAATACTCACATTCCTCTTCTCATCAGAGCTAGGTTAACCAACACTGATGTCCTTTGAATCCTTGTCGATCAGGGTAGCTCAGTAGACATCATGTACACTAGCCTATTCCGCACCCTCAAACTCGACCAGAAGAACATGTCCCCTTATGTAGGTTCAGATTTGCAAGGATTTAACGGGACCACTGCTAGGCCATGTAGATACGTGGAGCTCCAAGTTACATTCAAGGAAGAAGATGTTGCTAAAACAATTAAGACTCAATTCTTAGTCATAGACTGCCCCCCGCTATACCAATGCATCCTGAGGAGGCCGATACTTTCTGAGCTAATCGTTGTTCCATCCATAATTCATCTTAAGATTAAGTGTTATACTGAAAATGGGCATGTCGCCACTTTGCACGGGGACATTGAGGCAGCAAGAAAATGCTTCGAGACAGCTACCAAGGGGCAGAGTTTGATCGGTACAACACCACCGGTCATCAAATGGGTAAGAGACGAAGATCTTCCCAGCGAAGAAAGCCAGCCCCAAAAGAAGCCAGCGCTCCAAGTTCATACCGTTGACCTCGACAGTTAGATCTCAGAAGAATACGAAGAAGACACTCCAGTTTCAACGGAAAGCTTATCCTCTATAACTGTTATGCGTCCAATACCATATGGGGAATTCAAAGTGATCACCTACGGGGACAACCCCAACCAAGGAGCCAGGATTGGCGTGAGACTTCCAGATGAGGTGAAGGAGCAGATGAAGACTTGCTTGAAGAATAACGCTGACTTGTTTTCCTGGAGCATCGCGGACATGCCCGACCTTGACCCAGAAATCTTTTGCCATTATCTCATCATTGACCCATCTGCTTAGGCGGTAGCACAGCGTAGGCACAAGCAATCCGACGAGAAAAATGAAGTGGCAAATAAACTTGTAAAATACCTCTTAGAGGCCAAATTTATCTCGGAAGCCAGGTATACAACCTGGCAGTCCAACGTTGTATTAGTCAAAAAAACATAATGGAAAGTGAAAAATGTGCATTGATTACATCGATCTCAACCGAGCTTGCACGAAAGACGCTTATCATTTGCCTAGCATTGATAAGTTAATAGATAACTCCATCAGTTTCAAACTTTTGTCCTTCATAGACGCCTACTCGAGATATAACCAGATTCCCATGGCAAAGAAGGACAAGAGGTACACCGCTTTCATGACCTCGTCGGGAAACTATTACTACAGTGTAATACTCTTCGGTCTGAAAAATGATGGGGCTACATACCAGCTAATGATGAATAAAGTATTTCAATCATAAATCGGATACATACTCGAGGTATATATGGACGACATGATCATAAAGTCCCAA